CTGCCTCAAGATTGTAATGTATGTAGGCTATATGTTAATTAGGAATGTCCCGATCCAGATTTTTTGTCTCCCGATACAATCCAGTTTTTTTAATGATTAGTCTTTCCGATACTGATTCGATAAGTTTTATTTCTTTATTTCTTTCCAAGTGACAAGGTTGGTAGTATTACAGCGAGCCCTGCTGTTCCCACCATGAGAAACGTAAGGTTATGAATATAACGGGGATGCAGCCTCCACTACTTTGCTAGAGGTCCGCCCCTGGAGAGGAGGTCTGGACCTAGGTTCAGTCTCCCCGGAACATGAATGGCTGATAGACAGAAAATGAACACTGCTCCGCTGTAAGAGTGTGAGACAGGTTCAGCAGGGGAAGGGACCGAGTCCCCCCTTGTCTGTTTATATAAGAGATCACTGCTGTGTTGTCCATTCTGATTAGAAGATGATGGTTCTCCAGAAATGGACAAAAATGTTTCAGTGCTAACAGGACTGCTAACAATTCTAGGCAGTTTATGTGGAGCCTGGACTGTTGTGGAGTCCAGGTTCCCCTCACCGCCGCGCCGTCGCACAGAGAACCCTGATACAGGAGGCCGGGTTCCCTCCAGGGGCTGAGAGCCATCATGCAGGAAGCAGTTATTGTTAGCTTTTTGTGTCTGTGTCGAGACGGACACAGCCTGTGGGACTGAGACCAACGCTGAAAACGGCGCATTTTTAACAGCCCGAGTGGTACTACTGAAATCATGGAAGCCATCATTCCCAGTAACTGTAGTACGGTTTTGAAGCTCAGTTTGCGTCCCAGTTGAAACTGAGCTATGCAGCGGTGAAACGCGGCCGCTCTGTTTTCTGAGAGGCGAGCCCTGCTTGACAAGGAGCAGATTTCTAGTCCGAGGAACGAAAACTGCTGACTTGGTGTTAATAGACTTTTCTGGGTGTTTACTAAAAACCCTAAAGCCTGAATGTGTGACAGAACCTGAGACAGCTGATSTAATGTTTGCTCCTTGTAGCTTGCAATCAGAGCCCAGTCGTCTAAATATGCTAACAGACGGACCCCACTTTCCCTGAGGGGAGTCAATGCAGCTTCTACGCACTTTGAAAAGGTGCGAGGAGCTAGCGATAAACCGAACGGTAGCACCAGATACTCGTAGGCTACACCCTCGAAGGCGAACCTGAGATATTTTCTGTGCTCCGGGTGAATCGCTATGTGAAAATAGGCATCTGTTAAATTGATGGTCGCAAACCAATCACCCGGGCTGATCAAGTGAATTCGCTGTTTGAGCGTTAACATTTTGAACCTGTATGTTTTAAGGTACCGGTTTAACACTCTCAGATCCAAAATAGGCTGCAGGCCGGCCCCTTTCTTCGGAACAAGAAAATAACGGCTGTACAGACCTTTTTGTGTTTCTGCAGCTGGAACCACTCGAATAGCTCTSYTTGTWAGCAACRTGCAAATTTCCTCTCTTAAAATGGCGGCTGCCTCGTTTGTCACCACTGTGTTTACAATGGACCGAAAGCGAGGCGGCCTGATGGGGAACTGCAGCCTGTAACCCATAGCAACAGTTCTTTGTACCCATGGAGAGGGTGCACATGCGCGCCAGAGAGGGAGTCACATTGCGAAGCAACTGACTTGCCTTACTGTTGGAGATGTGTCGCTGCTGCCCTCCACTGGATGGGGAAGGGACAACATTATTGACTGTCGCCCGCAGCTTATTGTGTTCATTTGTGCACAAAGATAATTCTTTAATGACACACTGAAAACTTTTGCAGAACTGTTTATTAAAGTTTTGTATTTTAAAACACAATTTGCACCCAAAGAGGGGGCTACATGTTTTTTGTTTATTTTTCGGGACATAAACAGAGGAGACTGAACATTTGAAACCCGAAGCCTCTTGGGGTCGTTTTCTGAAACACAAACATTTAAATGTCTTTTCAACTGCAGCTGAACATTGTCTCTCTGTTTTTGAAGTCCCTGTGAAGACAGTCCTGCTGTTAGGAGGACTTTGACTTCTTCTTACGAGCCGCTGAACTGTCCTGCTGACTCGGAGGGGGGCCTTTGCTCCATGCCGATTGACGGGGAGGCTGCGGCTTGCTGGAAGGTTTGGCGGGCTGGACCTTTGAAGTCCTGGGTGTCACTGCCTTCTTGAACGGAGGAGGATGAGACGCAGACCTGGATGTGCTCGGGGCCTTGGGCCTCGCATCGCTTCTGGGGATGATGCAGCGAAGTGCCTCAGTCTGTTTCTTCCTCTGTTCAAATTTGGTTTGGATGACGTCAAGCGCTTGACCAAACAGTCCTGTAGGCGTTATCGGTTCATCCAATTAGGCCGCACTGTCCTTGTCGGGAATGTCTGAGAGCGTTAGCCACAGGTGCCTCTGCGCCACCACAGTAGAAGCCATTCCTTTYCCCAGASCCAGCGCTGCACAGCGGGACACACGCAGGATGTGGTCTGACGCCAGTCTGATCTCGTTCAGCAGGAGTAAAAGGGGGTTTTCCTRYGGCATCTGAGCTGCCAGTTCAGCCAAGGCCATGGCCTGGTAGGTCTGAAGCATGGTGACAGAGCTCAGCGCACGGGCGGTGTTACYTTGGGCTTTGTAGATTTTCTCCAGCTGTGCCGAAGAGAATCTGCAGGGCTTGGACACCCTTGCACACCCTGGTTGTGAGACGGAGCCAAATAAGCGGCTAAAGAAGGCTCCATCGGAGGGATGCCCACCAGGCCTGCTTGGTCTCCCCCTTCCACGTCCAAGTACTGACCCTGTCCGGGCACGAAGGCGCGGATGGACAGCGGTTTGCTCCAGGAAGACGTCAGCTCCGACACAAAGTCCGGAAACACAGGCAGACGGTGCTTCACATCAGCCGGTTCAGACAGGAGATAAAACCCTGCGAACCTCGACGGCTTTTGAGCAGGTTGGGGGTCGGGCCACTGTACCTCCAGTTTAGCAGCAGCTCGGCGGCACAGGGACAAGAAGGACGAATCCTGGTCCACCCTCTCAGCAGCGGGGGTGGAGTGAGCTGGGCACGGCTCCTCGTCGTCTTCGGACAGACTGAGAACCTCCTGCTCCATCTGCAGAACATCGTCCTCCTCTTGGTTTAGATCCAGTAGAAACTGGGTCTCGCCCCCCTCGATGTCGGGTGAGGCCGCCTCGTGCTCCATCTGGTCCGCCCAGCTAGCAGCGGGGGCTTCGACCGCCAAATCCTCGTCTTCGTCGGACTGAGCCRTCTGGMTGGATTCGGAGAGCAGCGGGTCTTGTCGGAAAACAGCAGTTTCCCCCAGCATTTTCTCCAGGAATTTCACTCTCCTCTCCAGTGTCGGACGTGAAAGTCCGGCACAGGCCCGGCAGGACTCGGGCTCCACAAGCGCCCGTCGAGCGTGAATGATTCCAAGGCAGGCCGGGCAGGCCTCATGCTAGTCCTTCTCATGAAGCCTAAAGCCGCACCCCTGAGGACAGGGGCGAATAGAAGACTTCGGCTTCTTCGAAGGTGGTTTTGTGCTCATCGTGAACCACAAAACAGATTTTCAGCAGAAAAGTAGCGTCGAGCGGCAGACACACGAACCAGCAGGTAACGCGGTTAGCACCAGTAAAGCTAGCCTAAGAAACTTAGAAGCTGAGCTAACTAGCAGCAGCTATATGAGCTCAGGTTTAGAGGTGACTATCGCGAGGTGAAGGGCGATAGAACTGAGTAATGACGCTGGTGACTCCAAACTTATAGGGTGAAGGCAGAGCCTGTCACCCGACGTTCAACGTCACCACGTCACCGGTCTAGAGATGTGATTAGAGGTGGCTTCAGCCAGGCGCGCGAGGGCGCGCGTGTCCCATATACAACTGTGTGTTGTACTGAGTGAAATGACTGAAAAGGAACATCCAGTTTGCAGATTTCACAAGATGCAGTTTCAGCATCATTGTTTTCCATTAAACAGTGTTCCCACACTGTGGACATGGTTACACACTTGTGTGCATCTTGACTTGTTAACAGCAGTTGTAAAGCATGATGATGCTGAAAACTGTTGCAAAAACTGGATCGGCCCGATCACATGACTAAATCAGATTCTACCCGATTTTCAAAAAACGGCCATATCTGCCACCAATACCGATACTGAGTATCTGATCGGGTCATCCCTAGTGTTAATCACCCAGCCCCACTGGTCATAATACTGTTAATATGATCACTGACAGTATGCTGCTATTTTGTCTTTGATATTCTGAGATACTATTTGTTATGGCCTGAGGCCATTTGTTTTGCATAAGACTGTGCCGGGTCATAACACTATTGTAATTAATACATTATATTTATATCCAACAAACCATTACACGCCATATCCGGTAAACAATATACGCAAAATGGTCCATCATCCTTAGTCATATCTCACTGAATTTTACAGCTGTTAAACTTTATTTTGGTGTGGTGGAAGCTACTCATGTTTTAAATGCTAACATCTATCCATCCATTATTTATACCCGCTTCTTCCTTTCAGGGTGACTGGTGCCCATATTCAGCAGTCACAGGGTACACCCCGGACAAGTCGCAAGTCCATAACAGGGCCACATAGTCAAACAACCATTCACTCTCTCACTAACACCTAGGGATAATTTAGAGTTACCAATTAACCTAACAGTCATGTTTCTGGTCGGTGCCGGAGTTCCCAGAGAAAATCACGCATGCGCGGAGAGAACATGAAAACTCTATCCAGAAAGATTCCTGGGCCAGGATTTGATCCAGCAACTGTTTTGCTGAGAGGCTTCATCTTTACCAACTTAGCCAACCCTTTTTTGCCCTTGTGGCAAAATCAAGTGCGATATCACTATATTGCATGAGTTCATATTGTTTTCAAGGACTGACAAAAACACCTACTATTACTACTATTACTCCTTCACTTGTCTGGATAGGATTATGTTAATCTAAAACTGCTATGAAAGGTGGCGAGTAATATGCATTCCTAAAAGAAATGATCTGAATTTATTTTTATCTGTTTTTCTTCTTGTGTCCTTATTCTTTTTTTTTCTTTTATCCCCAGTGATGGCATTGCCTGTGTGACTGTGCTGGTAACCCTGCTGCTGCATGTAAGGAAAAGGCAGAGGCATCTTGACAAAAGACCGATCTAAAGTCAGAACGGAAGAAAATAACTTACCAGCATTAACAAATGCCACCATGTACAGTGTGGAGGACCTGCTCATCTCTCATGGATACAAGCTACCCAAACATCCCACATCCTCCACCCCTACGCCTGTCCCCGTATCCTCGTCTCGTCAGCCCCCCTCATCCTCGCCTCCATCCTACAGCAAGCACCATAAAGTCCTGGAGAACAGGCCCAGCCCCAGGACGKTGAACGGCTATGAGAGGGGGCCAGTCATGGCCTTGGGAAGCAGCGGTGGAATGAGACAGGGCCAGGCATTTGGCGGCGGCTGTCCCAGCAACAACAATGAACCCAGGGATGGGAGCCAGCCAAAACGGGATGCAGAGAACCGGGGCCAAACTGACACCCATTCGTTAGGGGAGTCACTGACATCAGACAGTGGGTAAGAAATGAGCTGAGCTGTATGTCCACACTGACGATGAGCTTCTGTTTGACCACACTTCATCAACATCTCACTTCACCAGAGAATTTCTGCATCACATTGTAGAAGAAACTACTGAACATGACTTTTGACCTTTTCTGTTGTTTCCTCCAATTTTTCATTATGAGGTCTTWWTATTCCCAGTCGAGCCACACATTTTAATTAGTGGTGTGTTAATACCAGTATACCAGTACTGGTATTAAGACACTGGTAGTACTCATACTTGTACTCATAGAAACTCCCAGTACTTCTGAAAGATGTAACTTTTATGCTTTGCAAGTAACCAAAGGCAAAAAAATAATAAAAAAATGTCTTTAGTTTGATGATATTTTTAATACTGATAATGTTAAGACAGCAGACCTTTTAATTGTGTTCTTATAAAAATAATTGTGTTTCTGAAGTTATTGTGTTGTGTTTAAGTACTAACTTATTAACTATTTGGTACTCAGTATTTGCAAGCACCCAGACTGAAGTACTTGTAATTGGTCTGAMAAAACTAGTATTGGGACACCTTAGAATTGTATGTATCTTTTAACACCTTTTTTAAAATAGAGTAAATCAAAAACTATCATGTAAACAGAATAATACTGGCTCAACAGTAACCACGAAATCACATTTTACACACGAGTGCAGTGTGACTGCTGCATTTGGATTGACTTTGCTGAAAGGGCTGAAACTGGGTTGTTAAAGTTGAAAGAGCTGAACAGGAGCTAAATTCTAAAAGAAGCAGATCAATGACTAAAGCTATACGAAGCAAAACAGTAGCTAAAAGGAACAGAACTGTAGTTAAAATTAGCAAAACAGTAGCTAAAATGAACAGAACTGAAGTTAAAATTAGCAAAACAGTAGCTAAAATTAGGTCAACAGATGGTAAAGCTAAAATGGACAAAACTAAAGAAATGAGCAAAACAGATCATTTTACTTTTGAAAGCAAAATCTTTTTGAAAAGTATAAAAGCTGATGACGCCAGATGTTTTGGTAGACACTTACAGGCCACTTTATTAGGTTAACTGCTTTGTGACACAAATAGCTAATCATCATGGCAGCAACTCAGTGCCTTTAGACATGTAGACGTGGTGAAGATGACTCGCTGAAGTTCAATCCAAGCACCAGAAAGGGGAAGAAGTGACCATAGCGTGGTTTTTGGTGCCAGACGGGCTGGTCTGTGTATTTCGGAAACTGCTGATCTTCTGGGATTTTTACACACAACCAATTCTAGGGTTTAAAGAGAAAGGTCCAAAACAGAGAGAAAATATCCAGTGAGACACATTTGTGTGGACAGAAAAAAAAATGCTGTGCTCATATCAGAGGTCAGAGGAAAACAGGCAGTCTGGGTCAAAATAACAGAAAGGCATCAGTAGCTCAAATAACCACTTGTTAAAACTAAGATCTGCAGACCACCATCTCTGAAACAGCAGATGACCACACCCAGTGCCCCTCCTTTCAGCTAAGAACAAGAAACTGAAGAGACAGTTGACACAGACTCACTAACATTAGATAAAAAAAAATGAAAAAATACATTTGCTGCTCTGATGAGTCTCAGATCACTGAACTCATGGTCACCAGATCTCAGTCCCATCCATCACTTTTGTGGAACAGGAGATTCTCATCATAGCGCTGCAGCTGACAAACCTGCAGAAGCTGTGATGCTATCGTGTCAATGTGGACCGAACATCATATGTCACAACATTGACGCACATCTGAAGGCCAAAGGGGGTCCATCCCAGTACCAGTAAGGTGTACTGAATTAAGTGGCTGGTACATGAATTAAAATGCAAACGTGAAGTATTTTGATTGCAAATTTGTGCAAATAATCTATGAACAGGAAAATATTTTGAATGCTGAATCAGCATTCAGACAATTAAGAAGTACTTGAAGCCGTATATAATTACACTCTTAATTACAAACTCACAAGCTGCCAGGTTTGTAACGACATCATTTTCTCGCTACTGCATCTATCAATAAAACAGGAGTCGTATAAGGAATATTTAAATATGTATATAGGAAAGGCTATGTTTAGCTCGGCCTGGAGTTATGCAATCGAAATACTGTTGAATAAGGAATGTGTGAAATTTCCAGGAATATTGCCCTACTTTAGCCAGTTTCAGCTTTAAAGAGGAATATTTGTTTAGTGTATTTGCAGCAGCTCTGGAGGTTAGAGCACCGTAACTAAGACAGAGTTAATACAGATGGTCTCTTGCATGCACTGYCTGGTTAAATATAACATTTTGTTTAGACATTCTCCCACAGAATGGTCTTAGCAGGCAGCTTGGGTGAGAGCATTCCAAAAACATATTAACTATAGTGTATAAATATAGTTTTTCTGTGGTTGTTTTTTTTTTTTTTAAATTCTCTGCTTTTTTTTCTTTTTGCGAAAAGTAATTTTCATTTTCGTGTCGCCACTCTGCCTCTGCTACTAGAGCAGTCTGTGAGAAATGTGAGAATCGCTAGGACATATGTTCTGCAATTTCAGCCTGTTGTTTGTTCATCTGTCTTTTTGTTGTCCTCGTCCAAATCCACTTTGTCTGGCAGCCTCAGTTTAGATAAAGAACAGGCCTATCTTTGTTCTCCCACTAGACAGTGCTTCTTAGACCTAATTAGGCTGAGAATGGTAAGTCATCATTAAATGCCCTCAAATTTAACAGACTGCTGCGGCTAGACATCGTTCCCTATCCCAGGATTCCTGGCCAGTAATGATCATGGATGGAAATGTCAGGGATGCTCAGAGGCCTCTGCAGGGAGTACACATGTGCTTGTATCTTGTTTACATTGTCAGTCCRTCTGTCTGTCTAATCGGAAATAATCAGGCAGTGCATGTGGAGTGCGCCTCGTCGGAGTTCATCTAGTCTGCCATTAGACATGTCCTCAGTGGCTGTCCCTCCGCAGACATGCGGCTCAGATTTATAACTCAACAACAAAACAATAGAAGGACTGTCAGTGAAACGATGTTTAAAACGTGATGTTTTCTGGAGGACACAGGAGGAATGACAACCCTAGTCTGTCTGTGTTGTTTTTTTCTCTTCATAGTGAATCACAATTACCTAACATTGCATCGCCATTCATCCATTCATAGTCATCTGTCTCCATCTAGTGGGACGGGATTTTTAAATTCAATTTCTTTACTATTTGTGGCAAATTTACTCTTTAATTATGGATTTAACAGAACTCCTGGGGATGGTTTGGACATTTGAATACCTTCTGCATCCATCCCTTGACATGTACTTTTCAGTTTTCTTTTCTCTTAGTTGAATTAGACAACTCACTCCAAAAAGGGTTTAGCCAGTCACTTAAATTGCGTTTCAGATTTTGTAATTGCTAATTCTCTGTAGAAATTTCATTTCACTTAGACATTGAAGTTTTTTTGGACTTGTTCTTGTCAAAAAGGCAAATTTATATTGACTGCGATTGATTCATGACAGCAATAAAAGCATAAAATGTCCACAGGGGTGAGTACTTTTTACAAGCTCTGTAAATAACAAGATTTTCAGACTATTTGATGAAATCACAAGCCTTCTGTATCTGATTATATTTTGAATTTTATACTTTGTCCATTCTGTAGGAGGTAATTTTGTAACAGTTATTGTTTTTATAGCTTCACAATTTTTTCATTGCTTCTTTTAATACCTTTATTATCAATATTAATTAATAGCTTTAGCACTGAACAAAAATGCTCTATTTTTATTGACCGAGTGTGTACAAACTGGAAAAAAAAATTAAAGTCTTGAATCTTGAACACCCAGTGTGCGTTTCAATAGAGGCAGATTCAACCGTGTATTTGCTTGTTTTCCTCACAGTTTTTGTGATGGCAACAGAGGCCCACAGTCGCAGTCCAAGGATGTTTCCTTTTGGAGGAGGAGAGGCCAGGACTTCACTGTGCTGCTGGACTACGCTGACTTCAGAGAACCCCATGGAAGGGAACAGGAGGGGTACGGTGGACCTGAAGGGCCTCAACAAGCAAGAGGTCAAGAGCGGTCAATAGAAGACCGTCAGAGGGCAGCTCAAGAGAGGCAGCGCTGGGCAGCCCAAGTCCAGGCTCAGGCCCAAGCTCAAGCAAAGGCCCAGGCTCAGGGCCGCTCTAAAGAGAGGGAGGCGGCTCTCCATCAGTGGAGAATGGCAAATGAGAGGAAGTGCCAGAGCCTGGGGGCAGACGAGTGGCATCCAACTGTGAGCTTTGGCCGTCAGCTGTCTCAAAGTGAGGGTGAACGCTGGGCACAGGAGCAGCAGCGGCTCGGTGCCAGAACACCAGAGGGTATGGTAGTTCACCCCAGGACCAAAGCCAAATCCCAGTCCCTGCCCAGAATGCTGCAGCCTGAAAGCCTGCAGTATGTGGACGTAGCATTGACTGGTCAGGAGCTGTACAGGCGGGTCAACGGCCACCCGCTGTCTTACCAAAACTTTTACAGGGCGCCCCGCTGGCCAGAGAATGGAAGGCCAGCTAGCGCCAACCAACTCTCAATGACACCAAAGCCTCGCTTTACCCGACCCCCCAGACCTCCTTCATATGAGATGCACCAGCAGATCAGGGGAAGCTGTGAGGTGCTGTCTGGCAGAGAGTCTGTCCCTCTCCAGGGAAGGGACAGAACTCCGATTCCCATATCAAGAACTACAGACCCTCACTTGGACTACTTTGCACAGGATTCTGGACCCCCAGGATACATCCCTCCTCCATCATATAAAAGAGTTCCTATAATGGGAGGAGGGAGCCGAGGATATGGTGATGTTCCTGTTGACTACAGGTTGAGTAGTCTTTTTTTTTGTTTTTTTATTTATTTTTTTATTCTAGTATTTTTGGAAATGTTTACATTCTTTAATGAACTTACAGGTTGAAGACTAATTAGAAGTTGTTTATTTATTTATTTTTTGGCAACGATGTTATTGGTTCAGGCAGCTTATGATAACCTATACATACATAAATATAACCACTGTGAGAAGGCATTGGTAACAAAGTTTACAAACACTCAGAATTTGACATTTTATGTACAGCCCAGCCTAAATTCTGGTTGATATCTTTGAATTAGTTTTGCACAGATTTCAGTTCTCTCCTACGTTATAGTTTCTTCTTGTGGTAATATGTAAAATTATTATTTAGTATCGGTATACATACATTATTTTTTAAATATTTGAATAATTTTAATGTGTCTGCCTATACACCGAGTCTTAATTTGAATTTCAGTCAGTAGTCCACATGTCATCCAATAATTTTGTTGCAATTTGCAACATCCAGTATAATATGAACATGTTTTTCTTTTTTGTGTGTTTTGAGACTCTCATTTGCATGTTTGGCTGGTTCTTGCACTGTGCACTACATCTTGCTGTTGATCAGAATAATTAGTCCAATGTACGGTAATGTGAGGCTAGGAACTTAGACATGCATTTCAAAATCAGTGCACAAAATTACCTACAACAACAACTGGTAGCATGTAGGGGTATAAAAAACTTTGATACACTGAAATAATACATTTCATTTCCCATTAGTTAGTTGGCACATACACTACTCTGGTAGTATATATATAACAGTACACCACAGTCACAATTTGGTAGCTACCTCAGTTTTAGGGTCATGGTTTGACAAAAAAAAGTCAAATTTTTTTTTCAAAGCATATTTTCAGCAGACAGTAACTTTTACAGAAGCAGAGACAGATATTCATTCATTGTCAACAGTCATTGTTCCTTATGTATAATTTTTGTTGCTTTAACTCCTAGGTACAGGGGTGGTGTGTATCAGCAAATACAAGTGGCTCCTGATGGATCTCACTGGTTCATCCGACACCCAGCAAGTTCTTGGCCTGGTCCCCATAGAGAAAGGAGTACATCCAGCCAGAAGCAGCTGTACCCTGTCTATTCCACCCAAGAACGACCAGGAAGAGGAGGAGTCCAGTATATCTCATTTGATGATCCCCGTATTCGTCACATTTCCTCAGCCCTGGGTGGCAACTCCCTAACAGATGCTGACAAAATTCGCCACATCTGTAATGAGCTTCCCAGTGTCACCGTGTCAGAGCCGGCGCCTGACGACAGTGCCTTTTTGCCCCCGCCACTGGGGCCTTTTATCTCTGCCAAAATGGGAGAGAAAGATAAGCAGATGTCTTCTAGCAACTTTGACAGCGTCAACAAGAGGTGGCAAAGTGATTTGCACAAACAAACTATTGATAACTTCCCAGCATCTGACCAAAACTGTAACAACAGACATACCAAGTCTCAACTTTTTTCTTCATCACCCTCTTCAGCCTTTCAAGCTCTTTTCGCAAGAACCTCTTCTCATCAGGGTTCCAGCTCAGATCAGGTCTTTGCCGAAACTATAACTCAAGTAAAGACAATTGTACCCGAGTCAGGATTAGAAAACAATAGGAACCCCAAGAGGAGAGTTAGTGAGACCATTTTCTGCCTTGTGTCTGTTCCTGTTCACACACCAACCAACATCAGCAAAGATTTAACAGCCGATCAGAACAACAATGAGGCAGTACCAAACCTGACCATCACCAAGACTGACACTTTTGCTGTAGGCCTCAAAGAGAGACCAAACATTCGTAGCAAGTCTGTGAATGAAATGCCTATCAGATCACAATATTCTCACTTTCACACCAGCAGCACATCCTCAATGAGGAATTACAAGCGAGCTCCCTTAAGAAAGGAGGTAATAGATGCCTGGGTACTCCAAGCGAATGAAGACAAAGAGTCATGCTATACTGGCTCTTGGCCTGGAAACCAGTATCGTAATCAGGAAACTCAGACTGGCTCACCTGTAAAAGGTGTTAAAAGTCCAGACCCCCAGAGCTCTACTGTAGGACAGGAGCCTATTCAGTCTGTTTCCAATACAACTGTGGGTAACAATTTTGGTACAGACAGCTCCTCTTCATATGGTTATCCTATGGCAGGTCAAAAACACCTTCATCCCTCCAGCAACAGCGCCTTTTCCCGTCTCAGCATCAGTCCAACACAAACGTCATCATTTCAGCCCTCACAACAGGACCCATCTTCTCCTTCCAAAGCGCAAAATCAAGGAGAGGACCAACCATCCTCTCCAAAGAAAAACAGTTCTCCAGAAAATACAGAGTCAGTGGTTTTTGGTCAGTTCCTCTTAAAGCCGGTGAACCGACGACCCTGTGATGCCATTGGTGAATTGGAGACTATCAATAAGGAGATGGAAGACACAATCAGCAAGAGACCAAATTTGGGCCAGTTCCTTAATAAGGTTGACGGTGTAGATAAGAGACTCGACTGTTTGAAATCAGGGGCACGTTATACTGCTGGTCCAGAACTAGGCCGAGAAGCAATAAGCCTTCCACCTATACACATAGAGAAGCCCAACCTCATAATAAAGAGGTCAAAATCATTTGGCTGCAGTCCTGATCTCGAATCCATTGAAATAAGTAGCTCTTTCTCTAGGCCACAGGCCAACAACAGCGCCCTGCTCCTTAGCTCAGGCCCCAGAGAAAGTTTCCTTCAATCTTCTGTCCTCCCTCACAACGACTCAAGCCAGCTCTATAGACAGGACATCCCAGTCCCTCAAGAATCCTTATTGAGGGATGTGGGACTAACTGTTTACACAGAAACTCCTGGTGGGCCTGGAAGACCAATACAGCGCTCACTCTCAGTTCCATCTCCACTCAATCTAAAGAATCCTAATCAGTCAAAAACTAGTGGCAGCTTTCAGCACAGTTCAGATGAAGAACTTGTTTCTAGAGTGAATATTGAGAAAAACGCTGCATCAGAAATGATTCCACCATGCAGGAATGAAATTAATGTTTTTAGAAAAAGGAATGAAAGTTGTATATCACCTCAGAAAGATGGCTCATCACCTAACACAAAGCAGACATTGGAGGTTTCTTATGCATTTGAGGATGACGGTAATGATGACAGGTATGCACTCTCTGAATCTCTGACCTATAAAAATGACTCTACAATAGCAGATAAGCACTTGGAGAGCTTACTTATTCAGGAGAAAGCTAATTCCTTACCTGCAGAGGACCTCAGTAACCTGTATGAGGTCCAGTGTGCAGATGGAATTCCTGAAAATGAGTCCATAGCAGAGAGAGCAGCACGAATCTTGGGTATATCTGTTCCAGTAGAGGCCTTTTGTGTGTCTGACCAGGCTGATGATAGCCAGCTTAATGCAGGCACGACTCTAGCTGAGGAACAGCAAAGTTCGAATGAAGAAACGCAGCATGTGTTGGAAAAGTGTGTGCAAGTTGTTGAAGAGTCTCTGATAGTCCATGAAGCAAATACAGAGAAAGTCACTGAGACAGGATCAGTGTTGGATCAAGAACAAGAAGAAATGGAGCAAACGCACAGCTATAACCACAATGATGGCAGAGACAACCAGGATACAGACAGTCAATCAGTTCTTGACCTTCCCGAGTTCCCACCTAATAAACTTCCCCTGTCCCTGCCCGTCACTCCAGATGAAAAGCTGGCACATAGCATGTGTATGGTAGAGAAGAAAGGAAGAGGTGGAGCATTTAAACTAATTGAATCACTGCAAGATAGGCTGAACTGTTCTGCAGTTTCATCCTCTAAAACTCAGACCAGTTTAATTACAGACAGAATGGCCCGTTTCAAAGAACTGGACTCGGTGTCTCGAATAAGACGCCTCAGCTTGAAAAGTCCAGAAACTGAAGAAGAACCTGAGACTAATGAGGGAACCGAAGGATCAACAAAATATAAAGTTCATCAAGATGAGGAAAAACAGGATGAAAATGGAAGTAAAAAAGAGGAAAATCAAGATGATTGTGGTAATGAAAATATTAAGTTGGGAGATACTGAAGATGACATTGATGAGGGAAGTAAGAAAGAGCAAAAACAAGAAGAAGAGGAGAACACTATTGGAGTTGCACTAAAAGAGGACAATGAGCAAAGTAAGGAAATATATGAAGGAGAAACAGAGTTAAAAATAGTGGAAGAAGACTCTGAGAACACTTTGAAGAATGTAAAAGAGGAACACAATGCAGCGGTCTTTAACAGAGTCAAATTAACTCAACATGCAGAGAGAGGAAAGTTACCCGTACCAAAGCAGCGCACCAGGTTCCAGAAACCTCCTCTACTTCCCAAACCTCGCAGTGTTCCCAAGAGAGAAATAACTCTGCCACCAAGCTTCAGCTCTGGGACCTGTGGCCCCACAGAGCTGGATGATGAGGAAATGCTTTCTGTCTCAGGTGGGTGTGAACCACTTATTTAAGGATTAACCTTTTCACCTTTATACAATTTTTCATTAATGTTGACATTACATTTTRTATCAAGACTGAAGCAGAATGTTTATGAAATGCTAAATATAACCACAAGTTTTAATTTTGATTGTGTTAATCAAAAGATCTGTTAATTGTTGGGGCTAATCTTTGTGTTTGGMGTAAGAGACAGAATAATTTCAACAGACTAAGTAAAACAGGAAGACATGAAAATTTGCGTTTTAGATTCTCATTGGTATCATTTTACACACATCAGAAAATTTTGTTCAGGTGTTAACGTGTTGAATCATTTAGTTCATGTGTTATTAATAAAGTTCATATTAATTAATTAATTAATTAATCAATCAATCAATCAATCAATCAATCAATTCAACAGACTAAGTAAAACAGGAAGACATGAAAA